GTCACAAGTTGATTGATTTGATCATTGGCGTCTTGAGTGCAGACTCGGATCAGACAGACCGGGAGTTCAAGGAAAATTACCGATAACTTTCTTTAACCAGCGAACTAGAGACATGAAGTTTGTTGAACGTAGGATCAGAATGGTGTTAACAATTTGAACGAAATATCCCCGCTTGAATGGACAAAACTCATTTGATCTTATCAACAATCTTTCAGACTTCACAGCTTGGTTTTTTCGAAAATCAATTTGACGAGATCATCATCTTCTACCTGTTAATGAGTAACAATCTGCTTAGAAAAAAACTCGCGTCGAGGAAGTCTTGTGCTACAATCACTTCATTTAGAAACAATAGTCAAACCTTCACAGTTTCATTTAACATAAACAATTGTACGAGCATGTGCTAGCATCGGGCCAAATTGAACAAAGAAATTATTTCAGGCGAAAATGTTTACTCTGGTATTCTTCAAACTGCTTTGCACGAAAATAACATTGCGCAAATTAGTCATTTTATGCGGGTATGCGAAAATAAAGTAATTTACAGTTTCGCATTTATTAAAACTGAAAAAATAAAGAGAGCATCAGTGCAGTGAAATGTACATGTATGAGGGGTTCAATCCTACCAGATATTGAGTAAATCATTTCAATTTACATCGTTCAGTTTTCGTCATTTGAACAACTAATGGTGTTCATGAGAACAAATGTTACGAGAGTCATCGTAAGGCGTTACCCTGTCCATGTCTTTTCAATTTCCACTGCCAAAAAATCTCGTTATTTTCATTACATTTACTCAGGGGTTTGGTTAAGAGCCGGCAGCCAGCCACAAGCTCAAATTGGTCATCTACTTTCTTATTTTGTTTTGGCCTGTTGTTACAGGATGATATCCTGCTATTAAATGCATTTGACTTGAAATTAAAGAGGTTTACTTGCTTTGGTCATGTGCAGAAATTTGACTATAGTTATCTTTGTTGTCTTTCAGAAACTGATGGTTGATGAGAAAAAGTGCTATCTTTTTGGGCGTAATCCTGATGTCTGTGACTTCTGTATTGATCACCAATCTTGCTCCAGAGTACATGCGGCTCTGGTTTATCATAAACACTTGAACAGATCATTTATAATAGACTTAAACAGCAGTAAGTACTATCTCTGAGAAAAGCATGCGTTTTTGGGGGGTAGAGAAGTTATTAATAAATAAAAAAAAGAATGTGAATACGATAATCGGGAATTATTGTGAAAATATTGCATTGTATGACTGTGTCGCAAAATTATCTATCAATGTGACATTATCTTGAAAGCATATAGTGACTCCTTGCTAAGTTGCACCTAAATCAGAAAATTGGGTAATTGGGTAGCTCCAATATATTCTAATTTCTAGTTCTAGTTTTGAAAGAAATTAACTAATGATTTGTTGCATCATGTATTCAATTATCTGTTGAAAAGTCAGTGTGAGACAATTGGTGCTGGTGTTTTTTCGAATGATGTTGATGTCATCGGCATTTGACACTCATTGCTCCTGCAATTATAGAGTTAGAAAAGGTGTCATCAGATCCACTCAAGGTGTTAACTCGCATACATGGGTTGCTGCTGTTTTGGCTAAGCCCTATATTACTCACTGCAATGTGAAATTTGTCAATATGTTATTGTGAAAGGAGCATTCACTTGCATGTTCAATAAATAAACCTGTGTGTTTTTGTTATTTATTCATTTACAATGTGTAAACATCGCCCTATCACGAATGAAGTAACAACCCTTGAAAAGTTGCATTTCTGCCAGGGTTGCTTAAAAAAAAGTCACTGTACCAGCAAAGTTCAAAATATCACTCCAGCGGTTTCTGCAAATTTATTTATTTCACAGCACATGGCACCTTCCTTGGTACTATACGTTTAGAAGGCAGTAAACCACAACAAGTTCCCATAGATAGTACTCTGCGATTTGGAGCATCAACACGATCTTATGCAATTCGAGAGAAACCCCAGACTATCGCTAAGTCTGCCATGAAGACTGACAAAGAGGAGAAAGAGAATTCTGTAATGGATGAGCTTCATGGAGGGTTGCTAGGGTTACCAGAAGAGGAGACAGAATTAGATGTGAGTGATATTATGATCTTGTTTTAGCTTTTATCTTTTCATTAGTGCCCACCTCCATATAACTCAGGGTGGTAATCTATGTGGATCACAGTGTGCACCTCACTACATTCAATTTATACAATTTATATTTATTTTAGAATTTAACTGAGTTCAACACGGCACATAATAAGCGTCTTGGAGTGGCGGGTAATGTAGAAGACACAGGTGGCACTACTGATATCACAAGACCACCGTTAAAAAGGAAAAGGAAAAACTCTCATGTTTCATTTCAAGATGGAGAAGAAGTAATCAATCCAGGTAAAGGAAATGTGTATTATACGTAGACCTCTGAATACAATTGAAAGCGAAGACAGACAGCTGTTATATCTGACACACTAGAAATGTTGAATTTCCTAATTCTCGATTCCCGAATTACTGTCAGACACGATGTAATTCTATTTGCATATGTGTAACCTACCCGACAACAGACAAGGGTAGGACAAAAATTTACAAATTCCAAAGAAAACCAGCAGACATGCAACCCTGGAAAAAGTCAGCGGCATATTTGAAACGTTTTTTTATGATAGCAGAGTGAGTGTGGGTGGGTGAGTCAAAACGAGGGCAGCTAGAAGAATTTCCAGTTGAAAGAATTGATTTTTGCAGAGAAAATGAACTGAAATAGAGATGGTACTTGAGTGTTTCCCTGAATAAATATGACAGTGACATAGTTTTTTAATTCCCAAAATACCCGCAAAAAATATGAAAATATTACACTATAGCC